GTCGTGGGGCCTGAACTCTGGGCCTGGGCACTGTCCATCAGCTCTTCAGCTCAAGGCTAGCGCTCTACCACTTGAGCCACAGCGCCACTTCCAGCTTTTTTCTTTTTGCTTATGTGGTGCTGAGGAATCAAACCCAGGGCCTCAGGCATGCAAGGCAAGCGCTCTACCACTGAGCCACCTTCCCAACCCTTCCGCAGGATTTTTTGATGGTGGTGGTTCTAGGATACAGCTATGTAACTAACTCAGGACCACTTTCTAAATGCTAATGCCTAGGCTGGTTTTTCTGTTCATTTGAGATATCTAGGACACTTGGTGGATGGAGAGAAAGCAATGAAAATAGGAAACAGAAACAGTATGCATGACTATTACGTTTTTAAGCACCACAAGTCAGTAAGCATATCTGGTTAGCAGATGTGAATTTTGTAAAATATCTGTCTCGGTGCCTGGTCCTTTAACCATTTTAACACACTGATAATCTGATCTCACTGAATGATATCAGATGATATCAAATTCTCAGTGCCGGAAACATCTGTGCAACTTCAGGTAAAAGTTGCAAAAGGTTATTTGTAGTTAGATCCTTACCTTACAACATATTTTTTTTTAAAAACCCTCAAAAACATGCCAAAATAGATGAAAGGCTTAAGCATAGGAGTTAAGCTTTTTGAAGCATTGTCAACAGCCAGGAGTACCAGGAATACCAAGGGACACAGAGCTGGCACTAATAGTACCTGGTACCAACTCCTAGCTCCAAGTATAACATTAGCATTTTGGATAAGAACAGTTCTGATAAGAATCTGTGATTTGCCAAATGTTCGCTCGGAAATGAGCAGAATTTACTAAATGTAACCCCTTGCTTTTTCATGTCTTTGACTTTGCAGAAAGATAAAACAACATGAGGGGCAGCATAGTCTTATTCCAGAGATGAAATTTGCTATGATGAAAGAACACTGTAACAAGTGGGTCTGTTAGTGTTATATACTGGCTCCGCCTGAATATAAAACCCACACTTGCTAGGAGCTGGTAGCTCATGCCTGTAATCCTAACTATTCAGGAGGCTGAGATCTGAGAATTGTGGTTCAAAGCCAGCCCAAACAGGAAAGTCTGTGAGAATCTGATCTCTAATTAACCACCAAAAAGCTAGAAAGGGAGCTAAGGCTCAAGTGCCAATTAAGCTCAGGGATAGTATTCAGGCCCTTAGTTCAAGCCCTGGGACTGGAACAGAAAAGTAAAAACAACATAAAGCCCACAGTCATGTTTTTACCCTATCACTGGCACAACCAGAATCCATTTTTCCCTTGTGGGCTGTCTCAGTTCTATTTCCCACTTCTGAGTTACATACAGAGCACATTAATTTTCAATTATGCTTACTCAGGGCTCCAATCTGCAATTCTTACCTAGGCAAAACTATAATGGGGATTCTGAATAATTAGTTCCTGCAACATTACCCAGGCTGAGGGGTTTTGTTCACTTATTTCAAAGGAAACCCATGAGATTTCAATGAGTCTGCAACATTAATGAGAGGAGGATTTCATCTTTCTAATTAGCCAGACTGGCCACTGCAGATGGCTAAGAAACAGCCCCAGGATATTCTATGAATTTGTCACAAAACATTAAATAAGAACAGGAACAACAATAACGCTGAAAACAACACTGCAAACTGGGCACTGGTGGCTATTCAGGAGGCTGAGATCTGGAGCATTGTGGTTCAAAAGCCAGTTTGGGTAGAAAAGTCTGCAAGAATCTCATCTCTAATTAACCAGTAAAATGCTGGACTGATGGCATGGTGTACTCAATAAACACCTCAATAAATGATTGAGTACCAGCTTTGAGCAAAGAAAGTTGAGCAAGAAGAGCACAAAGAGCCTGGCACCGGTGGCTCACGCCTGTAATCCTAGCTAATCAGGAGGCTGAGATCTGAGGATTGCAGTTCAAAGCCAGCCCGGGCAGGAAAGTCCATGAAACTCTTATCCCCAGTAAACCACCAGAAAACCGGAAGTGGCGCTGTAGCTCAAGTAGTAGAGTGCTCACCTTGAGCTGAAGAGCTGAGGGACAGTGTTCAGGCCCAGAGTTCAAGCCCCATGAACTGACAAAAAAAAAAAAAAAAAGAGCATAAGCCCTGAGTTCAAGCCTAAGTATTGGTACAAAAAACCCCCCGGGAGCAAAAATAAAACAAAGACACAAACAAAAACCCTCCACTGCATATGATTACAGCACACATTAGAGAGAAAAAGGAAAAGTGTCCCAGAGCAGAGCATTAAAAAGGAAAGATTCCTCAGGATCAATTCCAACTCCATGGACATTCAGTGGAGAACTTTTCTATCTACTTTGCCTTAGCTGTAGATGCACTGGATAAAGTTAGAAATGAAGTGATGTCACCATGGAAACACATGTAATAGATGCTGTTCTTGTGTCTGAGGTCTTACTTTTCTAGATGTTGTTATCTGCCCACAGTCCCGAGCTGTTGACCACCTCTAGAAATTACTCTTGGAGTAATTACTCGCAGAGTTAAATATTAATTACATAGTATCTACACGTTGCCCGTCAGGTCTGAAGTGGCTAGCTCCTGTGTCTGAACTGTGAGTTGATCTGGCATTCCACAGCTGTCTCCATAGGAGTTGGAAGGATGAGAAAGTCTGGTCCTTCATTGCCCATTCAGAGTGATCCAGAGATGGGCTGGTCCAGGACCTCCCCATTCCCAGGGCCGACATCCTCACCCTACCAGGCCTGGAGTCAAGCAGCTGCTCCCTACAGTTTCCAATCTCAAGCTATTGGGGCAGATGTCACCCCACCAGTCTTTTTTTTTTTTTTTTTTTGCTGGTCGTGGGGCCTGAACTCTGGGCCTGGGTGCTGTCCCTCAGCTCTTCAGCTCAAGGCTTGAAGACACAGCACCACTTCCAGCTTTTTCTGCTTATGTGGTGCCGAGGAATCGAACCTAAGGCCTCATGCATGCAAGACAAGCACTTTACCACTGAGCCACCTTCCCAGCCCCATCCCACCAGTCTTTATAGTCCATCTAATACCACCGAAAATTCTAGGCGAGGAGTTTTTAAAAAGAACCCAAATGGGTAGGTAGCAGCAGATCACAGCCGTAATCTTGGCTATTCATGAGGCTGAGATCTGAGGATCTTGGTTCAAAGCCAACCCAGGAAAGGAAGTCTGTGAGACTCTTATTTCCATTTAACCAGCAAAAAGCCAGAAATACAACTGTGGTTCAAGTGGTAGAGTACTAGCTTTGGGCAAAAATAAACAAAAAACTTCAGGGACAAGCCCCAGAACCACCACACACATACACACAAATAAATAAACCAAATGTTCAGAGAGTAGAGTGGGTCTAAATGGACACTTCAGGCTAAGGTAAGAGGTATTACCCCATGGTCAGGTGACATGAGCTGCAAAACAGTTGCAAAGGGAGAAATCCCAGTTTACAGCCTCACCTCAAATAGCATGACAGGAAATAATGTGAATTATAGATCTACTAAAGTTTGGACTCATTTTGCTGCCTAAGAATGTTGATTTGTCCTCAGATCTAGGACACAGGAACTTAAGAATTAAAAGATATAAAGGGTGGCACATACCTGTAATCCTAGCTACTGGAAACTCAGAGCTGAAGATGGAGGTTTGAAGCCAATCTGGGCAGGAAAGTCCACGAGACTCTTATTTCCAATTAACTACCAAAAAGTTGGAAGTGAAGTTGAGGCTCAAGTGGCAAAGCACTTGCCCTCAGCATAGTGGTTCAGGCCCTGAATTGAAGCCCCTGGGCTGACACAAAAACCACACTGAGATTCCATCTTACCCCAGTAAAGAATGGCCATCATCAAGCAACAAATATAGCAGAGATGTGAGGAAGAAGGAACCCTATTACACTATTGGTAGGAATATAATCTAGTACAACCTCTCTGGAAGGCCATTTGGAGACTCCACAGCAACTAAACATAGAACTTCCGCATATCCAGCCATACCACACTTGGGCATCTGCTCAGAACATTACAAGTCAGAATACTGACTTGCACATTCACATTCATTGCTGCACTTTTCACAATAGCCAAGTTAAAGATACAGCTCAGAAAGCCGGGCGCTGGTGGCTCACGCCTGTAATCCTAGCTACTCAGGAGGCTGAGATCTGAGGATCGTGGTTCAAAGCCAGCCCGGGCAGGAGAGACCGTGAGACTCCTATCTCCAATAAACCACCAGAAAACCGGAAGTGGCGCTGTAGCTCAAGTGGTAGAGCGCTCGCCTTGAGCTGAAGAGCTGAGGGACAGCGCCCAGGCCCAGAGTTCAAGCCCCACGGCCGACAAAAAAAAAAAAAAAGATACAGCTCAGATGCCCTACAATGGACGAATGGCCCATATATATTTTTATGTATACATGGAATCAATATACACACATGAATACATATAAACATAATGGTGTATATATATATATATATATATATATATATACACAAATATGGAATTTTATTCATCCATCAGGGAGAACAATATTGTCATTTGCAGAGAGATGGACAGACCTGGAAAAAATTAAGCGAATTAAGTCAAGCTCAGCGAGACAAATGGCCTGTTTTCTCTCATATGTGGAACTTAGACCTAAATTATAAATACATACTAAATTATACAGGAGTCATATGCATATGCACAAACAAACTGACTGCAGTATACTGTACTCAGGGGAGGATTCCAATGGTGTTAACTCTTCTAACAACTAAGGGTTTGACAGAATGAATGTCAGGAAGCTGAAATGTGTTGGTGAGATCTAGAGGAGAGAGAGCAGACCAGTGAAGAGAGGAAGGAGTGAATACTGTCATAGTACAAAATGTATGTAGGTGAAAATGGAACCAGGAACTTGAGGAGATGGGTGGGGCTGGGAGAGGTGGGGGAGAAGGATGGAAGGAGTGACACTGATGGAGATTCACTGCTCTTATAAACTGATTTGTTCAATCAATCGACTTGTTGTACTTGAAGATAGTTAATAAATTAATTAATTAATCAAAGAAATGGCCTTACCAGCACCTGCCGAGCTCAGAGGTGAGGACAAAGCACCAGGAAGATTCTACAACTTGCACCGTGTCTGTCACCTGATTCCAGTGAGGCTGAAGGCAGGAAGGAGACAGATAGGGTCTGGAAGGAAGAATGAGGAGGAAATTGTGGGTCCAGCACTGCAAAGAGAAGTGCATGATGGCCAGCACCCCTTTGTATCTGTCTCCCCCATAACTCCAAGGGGAATATGGAAAGGAAGACATACTCATGGGAAGATGAGCTCTGACTTGTGTCATACTCATGGGAAGATGAGCTTTGACCAAAGTACCTGGTGTCTGGAGCCAGGTGAGCAGACTAGATTGAAGCTAGACCTGAGATGGAAGCTGCCACTGGCTAAAATCAAGAGTTCATCAGACAAGGGCCAGACAGGGCTTGTACCAAGCAGAGGGCTGTGGAGTGCTAGGTCTGTTGTCTGAATGGATCACCCCACTGGCTTTTTTTCTGTAATAGGCCCAACCAGGCTTCCCTCCATAGGAAGGAAGAGGTGGCAGCACGCCTGCTTCCTTTTCAAGGGCGGAGGGTGACCTTGCAAAGGGTGAGTGTGTGTGTGTGTGTGTGTTGGGTCTACAGGGTGCCTAAGATTCGTGGGCCAGTGCCATTTCCCCCTGTCTCTCCCAAGCCAAACCAGGCCTGTGGCAGGAAGCAGAGAGCAGTGTGTGAGTGTGTGTGTGTGTGCTGGGTCTACAGGTGTGCCTAAGATATGTGTGTGTGTGTGCTGGATCTACAGGTGTGCCTAAGATGTGTGTGTGTGTGTGTGTGTGCTGGGTCTACAGGTGTGCCTAAGATGTGTGTGTGTGTGCTGGGTCTACAGGGTGCCTAAGATTCGTGGGCCAGTGCCATCTCCCCCTGTCTCTCCCAAGCCAAACCAGGCCTGTGGCAGGAAGCAGAGAGCAGTGTGTGAGTGTGTGTGTGTGTGTGTTGGGTCTACAGGTGTGCCTAAGATGTGTGTGTGTGTGTGCTGGATCTACAGGTGTGCCTAAGATGTGTGTGTGTGTGTGTGTGCTGGGTCTACAGGTGTGCCTAAGATGCGTGGGCCAGTGCCATCTCCCCCTGTCTCTCCCAAGCCAAACTGGACTAGAAACTTCCCTCAACTTGTGGGGTGAAGGCTAACGGGGAATGCAGGAAACCAAGAATCAAGAGGAGACAGAAATCTCGTTGGGGTGAGGGGTGTGGGGCTGGGGGTGAGGGGTGGAGGGTGTGGGGTTGGAGGGGTACCTGGGGCCGGCCACGTCCAGAGGAGCTGTGGGTCCAGCAGAGGGAAGCATCCTTGGGCAGCCATCCCCCCCGGAGGCTGAATCTTGAGTCCATTTTGTCCTGCTGCTAATACACACTGCCTGAGAGTGAAATAATCTGTAAGCGCAGAGACAGGTTTCTCACGGAGAAGCCTCCGTGTCCTGCAAGGGCCCGCGGGGCCGGGCACTTCCTGCCTCCGCGCACAGGGGAAGGAGGGTACCGCACCTTGGAAAGCGAGGCCGGCCTAACTGCTTCCTTATATAGGGAACCAAGTCTCGCGATAGGACACCAACTTGCCCGCTAGAGAACCAACTCTCGCGAGAGCGAACTGACTCTCACCTTGGTGGCGCCACCGTCATGAGCCATACTTGCGCCCTGAAGCCCTCCGCCTCTCCGTTCCGCACACAGAGCTCTTTGGACCCCCACGGACACCCCCCCCTGGCTCGGCATGAATGCAGCCGCCAGCACCGGTGTCTCCACGGACATGGGTCTGTTGTTGTTTTTCGGTCGGGGAGTCGGTCCTGGGCCTTGAACTCGGGGCCTGGGCGCTGTTCACTCGAAGCTAGCGCTCTAACCACCTGAGCCACAGCGCCACTTCCGGTTCTCCCAGAGGTTTATTGGAGATAAGAGTCTCACGGACTTTGCTGCCCTGGCTGGCTTCGAACCGCGATCCGCAGATCTCAGCCTCCTGAGTAGCTAGGATGACAGGCGTGAGCCAGCGGCGCCTCGCCTTTGTGTGGTTTTGAGTTTGGACTTAAAGGCTTGGTAAAGGCTGAATCCACTCACACCTGTGTCCTCTTTCTTCGCCCCACAGGGTTGGCTCTGGGAGCCTTCATGAAATCACCCTGAAGCGCTCGTCGCTACCCTCGCCTGGGGTTTTCAGGTTTCCCATCTTGGGTTTGTAATGCACTCATCTCCTTTTTTTATGTCTTACTGCAAGGTCCCCAAGACCTGAGCCCATCTCTTCGAAGCCTCTGCCTCCTACAACCCAGTGACTTGAAAGTTTCACTGGGTTCTTGGGACATAGAACAGCAATTCTCTGGATCTGTCTCTCCTGTTAAACAAGGAAGCTACATACCTGTTGACACCAATGCTGGTTTCTAATTCCCTCCTTTTAGACGAAGTCGTGAACGCGTGCAGCATGTCCGATCCGGAGTGTTAACTGTATCCAGGACGTGAAAATCACAACTGATTTTGTTGTGATAACAACATACAAGTAAGGAACAATTTGATTTTGAGACTGAATAGAAGAGGGGCTCAGAAACAGCAAAGAGACTGAAGTCCAAATAGGAATGATGTGTATACTCATACTGGGGTTTGAATTCAGGGCCTTAGGGCCTAGCCTTTTTTTGTTTTTCCAAGGCTGTGTGCTACCATTTGAGTCACTGTTCTACTTCTGGGATTTTTTTTTTTTTTTAGTGATTTATTGGAGATAAGAGTCATAGATTTTCCTGTCTGGGTTGGCTTCGAACTGTGATCCTCAGAGCTTAGCCTCCTGGGTAGCTAGGATTACAGGCATGAGCCACCAGTGCTAGGCTTCAGAAGTCTTTTCATAGTTCACATCATCTGGCTATAGGAAACCCATTTCAATACTCAGCTGGCCATCACAGAAACATGACCCAGGGATCCAAGATGCTAAGCTCCCTCCTTTTCCCTCTGCCAGGAAGACCAGAATTTTGTTCTCCAGAGTCTGGCTAATGTCGGCTTGTTATGTGGTTTGAGTGTGTCCCCAAAGGACGCAGTGTGGCAATGTTGGGAGGTAGTGGAACCTTAAAGAGGTGGGGTCTAGTGCAATGCAATTAGGACAGATGAATGACACACAGCCAGCACAGCCTTAAAGGTACCATGTGACACACCGATACACATAAATACCCTCTACCAAATCATGACAGTTGATCTGAACCCCCCTTCTTTTGGAAGGGCATTGTCTGCAGTGAGATTGCCCCTATCTGTGTCAGTTATCCTATTTACCAAACCGAGATGTGTCAGTGGGGGGTGGGGGCCACTCTATGTAATCTGTTTACCTTAAGGAGCTCAGTCACGTGATGGGCTCACAGACCATTTTATCAGGATGAAGGATGCTCTGGAGAGTAGACATCAGGACAGGCCCAGCCTGGATGACAGCCAGCCCTGCCAAGAGTGACTTTAATGAAGCACAGAATAAACAGGAAGATTAAGAGGATACACAACTCAGTGTTCTGAGTTCACCTCTCAGTTGGAAATGAAAGCTGAGCGTTGTCTCTGGGCTACACATGGGGACATCTGCTTGGTGGCTAATGATCTCGTGCTATCCAAATCAGCCTGTGTGAGGCACACAAAGTTCCCTCTTTATGTTTGGACCTGCTTCTGGGCGTTCTTTTGAAATTCACCCACTAGGCTATTTCCTTTAGAATGGGAAGAAAGGTTAGATTTAAGAAAAGATGTACTAGACCAAAAATGTTACCCTAACAAGTATGAATGTTAAGGAAAAAAAAAACTGGCAGTACTCAATTTTAACTACCTGATTTAACTCAGTACCTGAGTTTTGACTCAGGGCTTTGTGCTATGCAGGTACTCTATCACTTGAGCCATACTTCCAAGCCCTTTATGCTGGGGCCAGCCTAGAGAGTGATCCTCCTTTTTACATTTCCTGCAGTAACTAGGATGACAGGTGTGTGTCACCGTGCAGCTGTTGATTAAGATAGGGTCTTGAGAACTTTTTCCTCCAGAGTGTTCTCCAACTACAGTCCTCAGGATCTCTACCTCCTGAGTGGGAATACAGACATGCACCAACAGTGACTGACAAAGATAAAAACAAAACCTGCCTCCTTCATAAAGCAATGCATATATATAGAAACTTAATAATATACAAACTCCACATCTATTTTTCAAGAGATAGGAAAAAATGTACACCTATCTTTTGGAGATGAAGGTTTCACTTATGATCCATTTTCTCTTTTTCTTCCTTTTCGTTTTGCTGGTCCTGGCCCTTGAACTAGGGCCTGGGCACTGTCCTTGAATTTTTTTTTTTGTCGGTTGTGGGGCCTGAACTCTGGGCTTGGGCACTGTCCCTCAGCTCTTCAGCTCAAGGCTAGCGCTCTACCACTTGAACCACAGTGCTACTTCTGGCTTTTTCTGCTTATGTGGTGCTTAGGAATGGAACCCAAGGCCTCATGCATGCAAGGCCAGCGTTCCACCACTGAGCCACCTTCCCAGCCCTATCCTTGAACTGTTAACTCAAGGCTAGTACTCTATCGCTTGAGGCACAGCTCCACTCTTGGCCTTTTGCTTATTAATTGAAATTAGAGTCTCATGGGCTTTTCTACTTGGGCTGGCTTTGAATCATGATCATGAAGATCTCACCTAGGATTCCAGATGTGATCCATCGGCTCCCAGCTAGGATCTACTTTATTTCATTGCCATGTCATTAAAAAAAGATCTTAGGGGCTGGGAAGGTGGCTCAGTGGTAGAGCGCTTGCCTTGCATGCATGAGGCCCTGGGTTTGATTCCTAGCACCACATAAGCAAAAAGAAAAAAGCCAGAAGTGATGCTGGGGCTCAAGTGGTAGAGCGCTAGCCTTGAACTGAAGAGCTGAGGGACAGCGCCCAGGCCCAGAGTTCAGACCCCACGACCCCCCCCAAAAAAAGATCTTACTGAAGTGTGAGTGAAGTATTCATTGTGAAATAGTACAATCTTTATTACCAAACGGTGAGGTCTAATGTGTAAATGCATATATGATTATTGGTAGTGTTGTGACACTTGTACCAGTAGATGGCGCTCTGATTCAAATTGATAGTCTTCCCTCCCAGCAAGCCCACAGAACTTCTCTCTGCCATAAGTACAACCAACACTGCTTTGAGTGAGGAAGAAGCAACAGGAGGCAGCAAGTAGACATTCATGAGATATACAAGACACTATGTTGAAAACGAACTTTACAGCGTGGTGGGGGGAGGGAGGAGTTGGAGAGAGAAGGGATGGTAGGGAAAAACAAAGGAGGAGGTAACAATGCTCGATAGGAAATATATTCATTACCTTACTCATGTAACTGTAACTCCTCTGTACAGTATCTTTACAATAAAAATTTATATTATAAAAAAAGGAATCATTCCAAGTAGAACTGGCCTCTAAGAGGCTTTTTGTGCTGGTCCTGGGGCTCTAATTGACAGCCTGGGTGCTGCCCTTGAGTTTTTTTTAAATTTTATTTTTATTTTTGATCAATGCTTAGCTCTCTACCTCTCAAGCCACAGCTCCATTACTGGAATTTTTGAGTGCTTCATTGGAAGTAAGTCTCATGGACCTTGCTTCTAAGGCTGCTTCGATTCTTGATTCTCAGATTTCAGTCTCCTGAGTAACTAGAATTACAGGCATGAGCCACCAGTGCTGGCTTGTAGGTTATTTTTTAAAATAAGGAAGATAAGACAAGGTGTGGTGTTACATGCCTATAATCTTGGTTACTTTGAGAGGAAGAGGGAGGAGGATTAAGCTTCAGAGATCGCCTAAGCCAAAGCTCAGGACCCTATGTGAAATGCACACTAAAAGCCAAAGGGATGGAGGTGTGATGTAAGTGGTGGAGTAAGCACAAGTTCCTGAGTTCAACCCCTAGCACTGCCAAAAGCAGGTAGGGGGCATCAAGATATAAGACTCAGAAACAGTAAGGAACTTCCATTGTTTCCCAGCCATTGAAAGGCAAAGCAGAGATGGGCATGTGGTTCAGGAAGACCTTTATAACCAATTTCTTCCCTTTGCTGCAAACACATTCTCTCTTTCAGAAGAGCCTCAGAGCTGCTAGCACACGTTCCTGACATCTTTGAGTAGGGAAGCTCTGGGACTCGGGAGTCATTAGGAGCCACATCTGTTGAGGTAGGTGAATAATCAATCCTGATCTGAATAAAAGATAATGCACAACGGTTTGGAAAGAGGCTGCTTTTCTGATGTTATACACTTCCCTTGCACTCAAAATGGAATATGTGAGGGAAAATAATGAGGGCTGAATGCATGGCTCAAGTGGTAAAGTGCCTGCCTAGCCAACATAAGGCCCTGATTGCAGACTCTAGGGCCATTATTTGCTTGAATACCGTGTGTGTGTGTGTGTGTGTGTGTGTGCATGCGTGCCCTGTCCCTTACCTTTTTCATTCAAGGCTGGTGCTCTACC